GCTGTTGACGTCATGACATCAGGATAATGTGTAAAACTATTCAAACATTTCTAGCAGCAAGCTAGTATGAAGGGTGTGGTCTGGTGCCGCAAGACTAGCAGCATAGATACATTCACTTACTCTAATATCTATGCTAGCAGCAAGCCTGCAAGGAAAGTTATTTATTATTGATACATGTAGATATATATAAAACATGTATAATGTATAGTGTACACTAGACACGTGTATGTACTAGTAGATACTTTGACATGTTCTACATTTTATTTTCAAAATTTTGAATCAAATTAATCTATTAATAGCAATAATAATAATAAAATAGTCTTTTAAAAGAGAGAGAAAGGGAGAGGGAGAGAATTGTGTGTGTGGAAGAGAGATGAAATGGAAAAGAGATAGAGAGTGACAAAAATTCATTTCATACAAAAGATTGTAAGATTATTTTTCCAGTTTAACTAGTTTATTCCAGTAATATTGAACGATTACATTAATATTTCGTTATACACTTGTTTCCCCATTCAGCAACAAAAATATATCCATCCTTATCCAGTGCTACTCCCCATGGATCAGATAATCCTGAGATTAATTTGACTTGTTTCTTGTCAGGTCTCAATACATGAAGATAGCCATTGTTACATGATACAAAGATATATCCTTCATCATCAATAGCAATACCTTGAGGATAATTAAAGTTACCAGCAGGATTATTGTATGTATCAAGATGAGTTTTACCATCAGGAGAGAAGACTTGAACATGATGTTGATCACGAATAGTAACGTGTATCTTTCCTTCATTATCAACTACTACATCAGATGCTTTACCATCACATTGTATGACTTGTACAAATGTACCGTCTTCCTTAAACACTTGTACTCTTTTGTTGCTGTACTCAGCTACTAGTATATTACCTTTACCATCAGTAGACACACCACGAGGACTAGAGAATTGTCCATTTCCATTACCATCACTACCGAACTGACCAATATACTGACCAGTAGTAGCTGAGAAATACTGCACACGATGAAGATTAAGGTCAGACACATAGAGCCTGTCTCCTACCAGCAATAAACCAAAAGGCCAATCAAACTGTCCATTACCATTACCCTTAGATCCAATCCTTCTTACTGCAGTACCATCCTCACTAAATACCTGAACAAACCCATCATAACTACTGGCAAATATTTTACCATTAGTATGAACAACAACACCAGGAGTACTGCACCTCACATCAAAGGATCTCTGCTTAGTTAGTGTGGTACAGTCTCTTGATGCTTTTACTGACAGTTGATAAGGACTACCTTTAATATGGTGACCTCTTATAGTCACTGACAGTTCATATCCACCAATACTTTGAGGTGTGCATGATACAATGGCTGTGTTGTTATCATTGACTATAACAACTCTACCC